GCCGCCGCCGCCTCCACCACCGCCGCGGCGCGGAGTTTTCAGACGGGCAGGGACCCGGACGTCACCAGGAGGAGGGGAAGGCGGGGAGGCGGGAGGCCGCGCAAGGGGGCGCCAGAGCGGGCGCTCGGGAACGGGGCGCGGGGGCCAGAGGGGCCCAGCGTGCGGCGCGCCCCCTCCCCACGCCCCTCTTCTGGGGCGGGTGCAGGGGGGGGGCGAGTGACAGACAGCCCAGGGCCGGGGGCGACGCGGGCCGGGGTGCAGAGGGGCGGGGCCGGGGGCGGAGCGACGGCGGAGGAAGGAGGAGGGAAGGGAAGGGGGTGGGGCGAGCGGAGAGGACGGACCCCCGGGAGCACAGGAGTAGGAGCGGGGCTGGGGAAAGGGGGGACAGTCCGGGAGGCACAGAGAAAGAGGCGGAGGCACAGAAGCTGGGGGAGTTTTGGGAGAAGGCGGGCCCCGCTCAGAATCTGGGGGGGTGAGGAAGATCTGGGGGGTCCTGAGGTCCTGCCTTCCCTGTGGGAAGCAGGCACAAGGCAGCCGAGCGGGGCAGGCTCCCCGCCCCGGAGTTTGCGGCCCAGGGATCTCCACGCACAGGGACTGCTTGGCAGGTGGATACACGAGGAACGTTCTGGGAGCGTCAGGGCCACTCTGGAAGGGTCTCCGGCACAGGATCCTCGGACCCCGGGCTTCCAAGGGCGGGGAGGGCGCGATGAATGAGTCTCTGTGAGTGACTCCTGAATCACAGCCACCCCCGACTGCCAGCGATGTACGAACAGCTTCATTGAGTCACGTCTCTAGTCCCTAAGGGCGCACCAGCCAAGAGGCTCCAAACCCGGTTGGAGAGCAAGTGCTTCAGAGGGGGAGACGGAGACCCTGTGGAGTTTGTCAGGCTCCACAGGCTGCACGCCCCGGTCTGCCCCCCCCCCGAGCCTCCCTCCAGCTCCGTCCTCCTGTGCCTCCCAAAGCCTGCCTTCCAGGCGGGGTCTGGGCAGCGCTCAGCTCCTGGGGGAACGCGTCTCGCGCTATACAGTTCTTGCCCATCCCTGCTGGGCTGTCCCGGTGACCTTGAGCCAGGAGAAGTCCTCCCTGGGTTTGAGCTTCCTCCTCTGTCCGTGAGGGTATAGCCTGAGGATCCCATAAGCTGGGTTCCTCCCCAGCCTTCTCCGCCTCAGTCTTTCCTGCCTCGCCCTCCCTTGTCCCCTGGCCCAGGGCTTCCTACACAGCAGCCCAGGACGCAGGTGAGTGGACAGAGGGTGCAGGTGTCCTGGGGAGACAGGACTTCGCGCTAGGAGAATACAATAGCGGATCGAAAACCCAGTTAGTGAACTGGGGACTCGAGGTGAACGTTTCGCCTCTGGTCTGCTTTTTAAGCCTCATCTTAATTTTTAAAGGGGAAAAAGTGGAGGAATGAAGAAAATCCATCAGAGGAGGAGGCAGAGAGGGAAAGAGATCGCTTCATCCGCTCCACAAGAGACCATGAACGTCACACTGGTATCAGCCACCAGGCCGGGTGCCGGGGTCCACAGGTGAGCCAGGCTGAGTCTCCTCTTCAGCAAGATTGGGGGGGTCTACAGGAGAAGCCAGGTGTAGACGTCGGTCGTTAAAAAAGCAGCAAGGCTGGCATCGCTGTATCGATGTATACAAAGTGCGGTGGGTTTAGGAGGGTGGGGCGGAGTGACCCCCGAGAAAATGACATTTCATCCAGCAACTCATAACTGTGGCCTAGGACTCCTCTCTGCCTCTCACGGGGTCGGCTTCATCCTGAGCGTCTCTCTCTCTCTCTCTGCGTCATGGCCCGGCCTAAGTTGCTCAGACAACTTGTATCCTTTGTTCATTTCTAACCCAGGAGAAGGAGGGGTGGTATTTCCCAGCAGTCTCCTCGGTAGCCCAGAGACTCTCTCTGATTGAACCAGCTTTAGGTCATAGGTCACCCCTATACCAAGCACCATGGCCAGGAAGACAGAATGTGCTCATCGACCTGGCCGAGGTCTCATACATCACTTCTGACCCCAGGGAGAAGCCAGCTTCCCGCAACCCCATGGACAGTCTATAGGGACCAGGGTCTTATGGGAAGGAGGAAATAGGTACAGGGGAGGGAACCACCATCATTTATTCCATGCAGCTACACGACCTTGGGCAAATCACCCCTTCCCAGCACTTCAGTAAAGGACTGGAGGCGATGATCCTCAATCAAGATCATCTTGTCATGTCCCCAGAAATCTTCCTCGGTGTCTAAACGGAGCTTCCCCATCCCAGGAAAGGCTGCCCTGGGGACGCTTGGCACCCCACCCCTACCCCNCCCACTCAACCCCCACGCCCCACCCCACCGAGTCCTTAACAGAGCACAGAGATGAACCATCATCTCCCAAGCATGTGCCTTGCCAGCTCCTTACAAGAGACGTCTGGAAAATCACAGGGAAATGTTTTTTTTTTTTAACATCCCTCGCCTGAATCTAGCTCCAAAGCACCACACCAGCAGCCCCAGCAGGATCTGCAAACAAACCGCAAGTTGCAAGGGCCTCGGTGGCTTGCGAACGGTCTGGTCTTCTCCTAGCCTGCAACCCAATAAGCTCAGGCGACACCGGACTTTGGGAACAGCCTGCCCCCTTCTGGTCTCCTTGGGCTCCGTAGAAGGGCAGGGGCTGGGTGGGCACAGCTAGAGAAGGACAGACCCCCGGCCCCACCCAGCAAGTCTGCACCCTGATTTCAGGATCTAACAGGGCACAAGGGCAGATGGGGGGCAGGGAAGGGAGAAGGAGGGAAAAGAGAGGAGACAGACAAGCAGATGAAACAAAAATCAAATCCAGGAGAGACAACAGCAAACGACAGAACAGCAGGCAACCGTGAAGAGGAGGGGGAAAAAGAATACATGTAGGTGTATAGGGGAAGGTGAAGAAATTGAGACATTGGGAGACTTGGGTGGGAGGCAGTAACTAAACTTGCAGGTGAAAGCAGTTTTGGAAAAGCAAAGCAGGTCTGCTGCCGGAAATGGCACTCCAAAGGGAATTAAAAAGGAAACATGGCACACGCTCCCACCTACCTTCCCAACTGCAAACCTCTCTGGGTGAGATACTGAACTAAATACGCACATTGGGGGTGCGGGTGAAACGGCTCAAATGTCAGGGACCCAGAAAGAAACCAGCCAGACAGGCCTCCTCCCTTCTCTCCACTTGTTTCAACAGGTGGTACTGGCACCCAAATGGCACCTCCTGACGCCCGTCTGAACCCCAGATGCAAACGATACACAAAGTCCGGTGCCTGCCATGTCCATCCTATGGATTCCCACACGGGGCCAGCAGTGTGCGTCCTGAGCCCCCTCCCACCCCACCTCCCAGCAGGGCTCCAAATCCAGAAAAGACTTCTAATTGCATTTCTGCCCAGACACATCACTCTCCACTCCTGGAGTTCAAAGGCAGTGTCTGAGGGGACCCTGTGCTGTCGACCAGAGGCTGCAGGACACTGGGAATGTTCTGGTTCTCTGTCAGGAATCTGACGCTCCTCTCCTCCCTGCAAATGGGGGAAAGACGGCTCCCTGCTAGCCCTACAGACCATCAGCGGTAACGTGCATCGCCACTGCATCACGCCTCAGGGCTGGCTCAGCCCACGGGCACACAGAGCCACACTCTGGCAGAGAGGGTCGCCCGATTCCCAAGAAGTTTAGCAGATCAACAAGCACCACCCTGTGCTGTGTACGAAGGCAGCCTTCAGTGAGGGCTCCTAAAGTGACAAATGACAGAGGCGTGTGTTCAGCGCCTAGGGATCCTGCAACCACCCCCTCTGGTGTCTAATGTCCCCCAAGAGCTAGGAGACTCCCCCTAGGCAAGTGGCATGATGAAGATACAGACAGACACACAGCTCTCGTCACGCCTGGAGACAAACACTCAAAACCACAGGCGCTAAGAGCCTGGCCCAGAGTTGGGCACTCTGACTTGTCCTGTGAGCTCCTAGCTCAGTGGGCACAGCAAGGCAGCCCAGAGACGGTGCACAAGGCACCCCAGGAGGACAGGGTAAGAGGACACCCAGATGGCCCCAGAAGACCTGTGGAAGGAACACTTTCAGAGCCCAGACAGTTCCCACCCAGCGAGGGCAAAGAAAAGCTACAGCAGCCCAAGTCATGACGGCCTGGTCGGACACACAGCTGTAGCTAGGTATGCTCCAGAGAGCCAGAGACTCCATCCAGAAGGGGCCGAGCCCTGACGCTGGAGAGCAGGGCAAGGAAAGTCAGAGACCGCAAGGTTAGGGACGGAGAAGGTAAAGGCACGGGTCAAGCGCCCACCGATGGGAAACAGAACCCCCAAAGTAAGACCAGACACCCAAGGCTGAGTCTTGATTCGGGGACACGGCTGGCGACTTGGGACACCGATCCCAGACCCCCTCTCAGCCCAGGGCAAAAAAAAAAAAAAAAAAAAAAAAAAGAGGCAGCAAGAGGGCACTGAGTCGTCTGCACCCAGCTCTGCAAAAACCAAAGATGCTGTGAGAACATCCCATGAGCAGCTGCTAAGGGGCTCGGGCACCGTCCTCTCTCAGGCAGAAAGCGAGGCACCAACACCCACATGCACAAAGCAAGTCGGGGCGCTCAGGAAGAGTGGCGGGGAACGGGAACCCCCCAAAGCGCCTCCTCCGGAGATAACTTCCCCGGACCCCAAGGGGGGGCAGGTCCTCAGACTTGGGATGGAGCAGCCCCTGGCCCCCCCAAGCCTCGGCAAGGACGCTCGCTATCCCGGCTTCCAGGGGAAAGGGATGTGGGGCCGGCGGGCTTGGGGGAGTCCCAGCGCGGTGACCGGGGGTCAAGGGCCGGGAGGCGAGGGGCCGGGCCGCCGGGCTGCCTCCCTTCCTCCCTCCCTCCGGGACGCGCGCCGGAAGGGCATCTTACCAGCGCCCGCGCGGGCAGCGCCCCCCGGCTGGCCGGCTGCTGCGCCCGGGCTTCTCCGGGGCC